AAAATTCACTAAAATTTCCCCAAAAATTCCTGAAAATTCACTAAAAATTCCCCCAAATATTCCTGAAAATTCCCCCAAAATTCACTAAAATTTCCCCCCAAAATTCCTGAAAATTGACTAAAAATTCCCCCCAAAATTCCTGAAAATTCCCCCAAATTTCACTAAAATTTCCCCCAAAAATTCCTGAAAATTCACCCAAAAATTCACCGAAAATTCCCCCCAAAATTCCTGAAAATTTCCCCCAAAAATTCCTGGAAATTCTCCAAAAATTCACTAAAAATTCCCCCAAAAATTCACTAAAAATTCCTGAAACCTCTCCCAAAAATTAATGAAAAATTCCTGAAAATTCCCCTAAAATTCACTAAAAATTCCTGAAACTTCCCTGAAAAATTCCTGGAAATTCTCCTAAAATTCCTAAAAATTCCCCCCAAAAATCCAAAAAAAATTTTTGAAAAACTTCCTGGAAATATCTTTAAAAAAAATTCCCAAATATCTTTAAAAAATCCCCAAAAATCCCTAAAAAATCCCCCCAAAAAACCACTTAAAAATGCACAAAAATTCATTAAAAACCCCCCAAAAATCCCCAATTTTTTTTTTTAAATCCCCAAAACACCCCAATTTTTTTTTTTAAATCCCCCAAAACATCCCCAATTTTTTTTTTTAAATTCCCAAAACACCCCAATTTTTTTTTTTTAAATCCTCCAAAACATCCCAATTTTTTTTTTAAATCCTCCAAAAATCCCAATTTTTGTTTTTTAAACCCCGAAACATCCCAATTTTTTTTTTAAATCCCCAAAACATCCCAATTTTTTTTTTAAATCCTCCAAAACACCCCAAGTTTTTTTTTTTAATCCCAAAAAATCCCCAATTTTTTTTTTTAAAATCCCCAATTTTTTTTTTTAAATCCTCAATTTATTTTTTTTAAATCCCAAAAAATCCCCAATTTATTTTTTTTAAATCCCCAATTTATTTTTTTTAAAATCCCCAATTTATTTTTTTTAAAACCCCCAATTTATTTTTTTTTAAAATCCCCAATTTATTTTTTTTTAAATCCCCAATTTATTTTTTTTTAAATCCCAAAAATCCCCAATTTTTTTTTTTAAATCCCCAATTTATTTTTTTTTAAACCCCCAATTTATTTTTTTTAAAATCCCCAATTTATTTTTTTTTAAATCCCCCATAACATCCCAATTTTTTTTTCTAAACCCCCCAAAAAACCCCAATTTTTTTTTTTAAAATCCCCAAAAAATCCCCAATTTATTTTTTTTAAATCCCCAATTTTTTTTTTTAAAATCCCCAATTAATTTTTTTTAAATCCCCAATTTTTTTTTTTAAATCCCCAATTTATTTTTTTTAAAATCCCCAAAAAATCCCCAATTTTTTTTTTTAAATCCCCAATTAATTTTTTTAAAATCCCCAATTTATTTTTTTTAAATCCCCAATTTATTTTTTTGAAACCCCCAATTTATTTTTTTTTAAAATCCCCAATTTATTTTTTTTAAACCCCAATTTATTTTTTTTAAAATCCCCAATTTTTTTTTTTTAATCCCCAAAAAATCCCAATTTATTTTTTTTTTAACCCAAAAAATCCCAATTTATTTTTTTTTTTTAACCCAAAAAAATCCCAATTTATTTATTTATTTTAACCCAAAAAATCCCAATTTATTTTTTTTAACCCAAAAAATCCCAATTTATTTTTTTTTTAACCCCAAAAAATCCCAATTTATTTTTTTTTTTTAACCCAAAAAATCCCCATTTATTTTGTTTTTAAAATCCCCATTTATTTTGTTTTTAAACCCCTCAAAAAGTGGCTTTCGGCAGGCTGCTGGCGGCGCGGATGGACGCGGACGGCGGCGGGCGCGTCTCGCGGGAGGAGCTGCGCGCCTGGATCCTGCGCAGGCACCGCGCCGCCCGCCAGGCGGCGCTGCGGAGCCACCGCGCCCGCCTGGACCGCGACCGCGACGGCGCCGTGGCCTGGAGCGAGTTCAGAGAGCGCAACTTCGGACACGGCGGTGGGAAATGGGAATTTTGGGGGGATTTGGGGGGTTTTTGGGGGTTTTTTGGGGGATTTTTAGGGGATTTTTGGGGTTTTTTTGGGGGGATTTTATAGGATTTTTTTAGGGGATTTTTGGGAGAATTTTTAGGGGATTTCTGGGTTTTTTTAGGGGGCTTTTATAGGATTTTTGGGGGGAATTTTTAGGGGATTTCTGGGGAATTTTTGGGGAATTTTTAGGGGGTTTATAGGGGATTTTGGGGGTTTTTTGGGGGTTTTTTGGGGGGGTTTTATAGGATTTTTTTAGGGGATTTTTAGGGGGTTTTTGGGGGAATTTTTAGGGGTTTTTTGTGGGTTTTGGAGGGCTTTTATAGGATTTTTTGGGAGGTTTTTAGGGGAATTTTGGGGAATTTTTAGGGATTTTTTAGGGGATTTTTGGGGGGCTTTTATAGGATTTTTTGGGAGGTTTTTAGGGGAATTTTGGGGAATTTTTAGGGTTTTTTTGGGGAATTTTTAGGGGTTTTTTTGTGGGTTTTGGAGGGCTTTTATAGGATTTTTTGGGAGGTTTTTAGGGGAATTTTGGGGAATTTTTAGGGGTTTTTTGGGGGGCTTTTATAAGATGTTTTCGGGGATTTTTAGGGGATTTTTGGAAGAATTTTTGGGAATTTTTAGGGGTTTTTTTGGTGGGTTTTGGAGGGCTTTTATAGGATTTTTTGGGAGGTTTTTAGGGGAATTTTGGGGGATTTTTAGGGG